ACAGGAGACTGAAGCAGGAGTACAGCCAATTCAGAGCCAGCCAGAGCTGTACGCTGCCATGTGAGGTCAGTCTGGAAGATCCTGTCTCAAAATAATACAACTGGGGACTTTTACAAATTGAGCCATGAGGAGGAAGCCGCTCACACTTGAGGTGGTGGGCTTGTCCCCTTCTGTCCTGTGTATGGCAGGACAGTATCCACTCCACTAGAGTACACAGTACTATCTTGGCAGCTGACACCAGACCCTGACCAGACACAGGTTCTGACTTTGGACTTAAAGCTTTGCAAACTCTTCAGTTTTTGGAAATTTCTATCATCTATATCTATAAATTACCCAGCCTCAAGTACTTTGCTATAATACCATAAACACTAACCGTGATACATAATACACACATACTGCACGCACACATAATTTCAAGGCTATAGGGAATAATAACTAGCAGTATGATTAGAGAGTTACAAGAACAAGACTTCAATCTTCCAAATACAACAAATATGTAGTAAGAAAAGACCATCCTTTGTTAGACGAATTGGTAAGATTCTGTTCTAACGGCATTTGCTAAACATGCAGAAGAAGCACGGGGTGCAGCTAGGTGAGGACTGCAAGGAACTGGCCCATATAACAAGGATGGCCAAACACAGTAAATTCAGTAGCCCACCCAAACAGCTTGGTACTGGGTGGCCAAACCTCCTCACTCCACACCACTCCAAAGGACTCTGGAGCACAAATCTGCTTCAGGGAAATGCAAAGCCCTAATTTAATTAATGCTTGATGTGGCTCGAAGAACTGAGGCAAAGCCAGTAATCTAAAATCCTGCCAAAGTCAATAAAGGTAAATTCCTAGTGTACTTCCTGTGTTTCAAGTTGACAGGGGGCTTTGTTCCACTGCGTGAGTGAACGTTCCCAAGAAGCTGCATCTATAAAGACTGACTGGCTGAACTCGAGGGGGGAAGGCTGAAACGCTGCAGGGCCAGAGCAGGGCCAAATCATCTTAGGGCAGCAGCAGGCCCTGAAGGGCCATTATTACCACCTCTAAGCGACACAACACACTGTGAGTGCTAATACCTGGCAAATCTGCGCAGAGTCCACGTGTGTGCAGGAGGAAAAACAAAGCAAGGCACAGCAGCTACCCAACACTCCACGCAGCTCCTCCCCATCATTGTACACAATAAATGAGAGAGGGTAAGGTGCAAAAAGATGTGCATTCCAGCCTGGTAAGAAGCATAACTTACGGAACACATGGGCATTACTCAGCATAAAACAGGAATGGAATTCAAAGATGAGAAAGTGAAGCAACAAGAGGAGATGCTGAAAAGCAGGGAGTGAACTGAAGAAAAGACTTGCAATCATTACAATGGGAAAAAAGCACCAACAGTCAGGAAGGACTTGAGGAAAATCTAACCCAGGGCAAGGAGTGCAGACTGAAAAAAAAAAATCCTATTGGGAGAGCAGACCGTCAATATGTGAGGTCCTGAAGCAGAGGCTGGAACAGAGCAGACGTGTCGAAGACATGTTCTAAGATGAAGACTCAGACACCTGCAGCCCCATGAACATGGCCTCCAGGGACACCAGACACAGGCTCGCCACATTCAGACACAGATCTAAGAACGTCAGCCATTCTGACATGAAAACAAAATACCTGCAGGGGAAAGAAATCGGACTGAAACCAATTCTCTCCAAGACATTGGGAAGGTTCTGTGGGAAACAGCATGGTCCAAGAAACTGTCTAGCAACTAAGGCAAGAAGCAGACAGTCACAGCCATTGAATCAGGGATACAGGACTCAAGAGCACATGAAAGAGAACTTGGGAGTGCAGTCGTGTTGACGAGATGGACGAAAAGTGAAGGACAGCGAGGCCACAGTCTGATGCCAACATTCTGAACACAGCTTTGCTAGAAAACAGTCAAGAGTGGTTAAGAACCAAACACTAGAACCGCAGTGTAACATCCACAAGATCCACAGGAGCCATGAAGAAGGGAAACGCTGTGTGCGCTCCACTGTCCTCCTCATCCGGGGAGTCACTGTGCATCACTGTCCTCCTCATCCGGGGAGTCACTGTGCATCACTGTCCTCCCCATCCGGGGAGTCACTGTGCATCACTGTCCTCCCCATCCGGGGAGTCACTGTGCATCACTGTCCTCCTCATCCGGGGAGTCACTGTGCATCACTGTCCTCCTCATCCGGGGAGTCACTGTGCATCACTGTCCTCCTCATCCGGGGAGTCACTGTGCATCACTGTCCTCCCCATCCGGGGAGTCACTGTGCATCACTGTCCTCCCCATCCGGAGAGTCACTGTGCATCACTGTCCTCCCCATCCGGGGAGTCACTGTGCATCACTGTCCTCCCCATCCGGGGAGTCACTGTGCATCACTGTCCTCCTCATCCGGGGAGTCACTGTGCACCACTGTCCTCCTCATCCGGGGAGTCACTGTGCATCACTGTCCTCCTCATCCGGGGAGTCACTGTGCATCACTGTCCTCCTCATCCGGGGAGTCACTGTGCATCACTGTCCTCCCCATCCAGAGAGTCACTGTGCATCACTGTCCTCCCCATCCGGAGAGTCACTGTGCATCACTGTCCTCCTCATCCGGGGAGTCACTGTGCATCACTGTCCTCCTCATCCGGGGAGTCACTGTGCACCACTGTCCTCCTCATCCGGGGAGTCACTGTGCATCACTGTCCTCCTCATCCGGGGAGTCACTGTGCATCACTGTCCTCCTCATCCGGGGAGTCACTGTGTGCCACTGTCCTCCTCATCCAGGGAGTCACTGTGCATCACTGTCCTCCTCATCCGGGGACTCACTGTGCATCACTGTCCTCCTCATCCAGGGAGTCACTGTGCATCACTGTCCTCCTCATCCGGGGAGTCACTGTGTGCCACTGTCCTCCTCATCCGGGGAGTCACTGTGTGCCACTGTCCTCCTCATCCAGCGAGTCACTGTGCATCACTGTCCTCCTCATCCGGGGAGTCACTGTGCATCACTGTCCTCCTCATCCGGGGACTCACTGTGCATCACTGTCCTCCCCATCCGGGGAGTCACTGTGTGCCACTGTCCTCCTCATCCAGGGAGTCACTGTGTGCCACTGTCCTCCTCATCCGGGGAGTCACTGTGTGCCACTGTCCTCCTCATCCAGGGAGTCAAGGGTTGGTAAGCACAGACAAACCCAGGCTGACTCTAAATGTCATGTCTGAAAGGAGGGAGCACAGGATGATCCTGGCTCAGTCTCTGCTGTCCAGGGGAGCCATCTGGGCAGCTCCTCAGTCAGTTTACGCTTCAGGGCCCAGGCGAGCAGCCCACTCCCGCGCTTGCGCTACTGTCCGACACCGAGCAGCTGTTCCTGAGGGTTAGACTGCACCAGAGCCATCATCTGATCCTCACAAAAGCCATGAAGTGAGGGCTACTGTCTCTTCAGTTTATGGAGCAGGAAGCCGAGGCAGAGAGGCTCCACACATGCCCAGAGGAAATGAAGCAAGGCTGGAGCTCACGCAGTCTGACTCCCAGCAACATCCTCAGCCTGCCACACACCATCTGCCTTCGCACTTACACAGAAACTCACATACAGCTGTCAGGACAAGTTCCCTTGTGAAGAGAGCCTATCATCATCTATTTACACTGAGATTTGTGGTGGAATCTGCCAGTACCAAGTGAACTGTAGCTCTCTGGAGAAAAGAGGTTTAATAACAACCGTCTATAACAACATAACCTGGGATGGCTCTGACAGAAGCTTCAACTAAAGTACAAAAAGGTCACCATGTGGTCAGCCCTGAAAACATACACACACAGACAACATTAAATGGACCAAGCATACGTATGTATCTAGGAACACACAACCGCAGCCATATACCCCCCCCACACACACACGAGGGGCTGGAGAGATAAGGGAAGGGGGAAATTATATAAGTATATTATAATCTCAATAAAATTTATAAAAATGGGTTACAATAAAACAAAAAAAGAGGTTGCACAGGAACAGACTGCATGTGTCTTAAGGAGCAGACGGCAGAGCAGAGGCACTTAGCAGACAGGCCAGGTAAAGCCTTTCCCAGAAGTGAGAGTCCTCTTATCTCTCCTTATCTTGAGCCACTGGCTCAAACACTGTGGCAAACAAAGGGGTATTTGTTTAACTCCCATAATTTTACATTATTTAAAAATTTCACAATAATAATACAAATCTGAGTTTCTAGACATTAAAGCAGAGGAGATGAAGAAAGAGCACCCATTCTCATGGTGGCAGCTGGCAGGCCAGCTAAAAGGAAACACAACACCCAACAGCACAGAGAGACCAGAGGGCTGCTGGACCTGCCTCTTGGAATGATTCACCAGGCCGAAATATGTCCTGAAAACCCACTTGCAATAAAGAAGAAAATAAAATAATATAATAAAACTTAAAGCTATGCTGTCCATGCCCAGGTGACACTCTGAACTAGACAGTGACGATTAAACCCTAACACTTGGAAAGCTCCCAAAAGTAACTGCTATTTTATGGATTGTAACTATGTCCATTAAAAAAGATAGAAAACTGCAGCTTAAACTGTTTTAATAAACTTACTACATGACAATATAGTTTATCTACAGAACTTTTTAAAAACCTTCAAATTTCCACATAGGAAATCTGTGACCGAATAGGCTTCATCAAGCTAAATACCATGGTCTCATTACATACTTAAATAGTCAGTCTACCTTGACGCAAGGTTTCAACACAATCTAGAAGACTATGGAACCAAGTCAATGAGTCCCTCAGTGCACAAAAGGACACTGATGGCACAGCGCAGTGGGCCAGAGAGGACAGAGTAAGATGGAGAAACTTGGAAGGCACAACCCTAGTTGGCCCTACAAACCTAAAAACAGAAGAATTCGTCTGCTAGTCGGCAGAAGCCACAAAGTCAGAACTATCTAAAACACCTGCCACCATTGTCATTTATCAAATATAAGGAGTAAAAACTGCTACCATGTTCATTGCAGAGAAAAAAAAAAAAACAACTTTTAAACTTTACTTACCATCCACTCTGATATAATAACATCCACCTTTTCTACAGGGAGACTCACTTCTTCAATCTTTCCTTTAATGAGTATAATGGTATCTTCAAGTTTATTTAGTCTGAAAGTTATAATGAATTAAATCAGACTATTAAATATTTTGTTTACAAACCATATAAAAAAATCACCACATTTTAATCAAATAAGGCATTGCACAGCTAGATTATTGTAGCCACTTTAACACTTGTCCAGTCTCAAACTACAGATCTCAGTGAACTTCTGCAGTTAGCATGACCATTCTAAAGTCAGGAAGCATAATATACTTTTCCACGACTCATGTCCTCTTGCCCGAATTCTCTTTCCTTATCACCTAATATTAGCTTCTCTTGGTTTCCTTTGTAATGGTATACTATATCATACACACTTAAACCTGTCTACATATATACACTATACATTATAGGCTAAGATCTGCAGATGAAAAAGAACATAAGGTGTTTTCTGAATTTGGAAAACCAAGCTTAATATTATGTTTTCTATCCATTTTCCTGTAAATTTTATGATTTAATTTTTATTTATAGCTGAATAATATTTCATTTTGTACATGTACTACATTTCATTCTCCATTCATCTGCTGTTCCATTTCCCTGCAGCCAGATGACAGAGCAGCAATAAGCACAGATGTGCAAATACCTCTGTGGTAAATGCGTGGGGAAGAATGGCTGGGTCACACAGTCGTTCTACTTTAGGTTTGAGGTCCCTCCAAACTGATTTTCTTAATGGCTGCACTAATCTGTACAGCAATGAACAAGGGATTCTCTTCCCCCACATCCTCTCCAATATTTGCTGTCAGATTTATAGATGACAGTCTGACTGGGGTAAGGTAGTATCGAAAAGTAGTTTTAATTTGCATTCCTCTGATGCCTGGGGATAGGGACAGTTTTTAAAGTAATCACTAGCCAGTTGTGCTTCTTCTTCTGAGAAGTGTTTGTTTCAGCAGCCCATTTGTTGGCTGGAAGGTTTATGCTTTGGTGTTAGTTTCTGCAGTTCTTTGTAAATTCTGGGCATTAGCCCTGCCTGAAGTATAGCTAGCAAGGCTTGTCTCCCATGCTGGGGCTGTCTGTGTTCAGCTGACAGTTTCCTTTGCTATGCAAACGTTTTTTAATTTCACATAGTCCAGTCTGCTGACATCAGAGACTAGCTCAGGCCACTCAAATTCTATTCAGAAAGTTCTTGCCGACCCATGTACTAGTTTGCTAAACAGACTCTAAAAGCTGGTTAAATGATTATTTTCCATAATGTTCACACTATTTGTTGAACAAAGTGATGCTTAAATCCCTTTGCCTGTGCAGTAGAAGAGTCAACTGATGGGTGCCCAAAACCTCTCTGATTAACAAGGCAATAACATGAACTAGCAACAATACTTCAGCCTGAAAAGAAACCTGCATTTATGAAGAATACTCTCCCCTATGCAGTCACGGTATCTGTAAGAACAAAGAGCAAGCAACAAGTAAGTGTGGAAACAGCAGCAAGGACAACAAAGGCAAGGTTTCCGGGAACTAGTGAAAGACAGCAGTGAGGGGGCTGGAAGCTAGGGCCTACAACACCTTCCAGCTATTGACAGCTGCCCACTCTCAGGGAACTTGCTAACCTACCCAGCCTAGTGTAACTCAGGGTGAGAGACAAGGCTAGCACCTGGCACAGACTACGTATTTGTGAACACCATAGACACACCTTAAACACGACACAGAACATTAAAGTCATTCCTGTGCAGAGGAACTGAGGACTACTTTTAGAGCAAGCATGGTGGTACGCTTTTGTTATCACAATACTTAAGAGGCTGAGACAGGAGGATTGCCCAAGTTCAAGATTGACTTGGGCTACAAAACACCAAACAAACAAAATTAACCAAACAAAATCAAGGCCACCAGAGGAAAAAAGAAAACTTCTTGTAACCTTGCCTAAAGATACTCACATTACTACATACTTGATGACAGAGATATATTTTTCAACCCCTCTTTTCTGCAATTTAAAATGACAGAATTAAAATGACCACCTGAGGAAGCAAGCTGAAAATTAAGTTGCTACCTAATTAAACCACGTTCTCAGTTAGAGACCGTACATTTTAATTACATGGGAGTTTTTCCTGCATCAAGGGCATTACTGAACATTAAAGCATTCATTGGAAAATACAGTTTGCTGAAGCACTTATCATGGGTGACCATGATCAGCAATACATGAAAGGCTATGGTTGCTCAGTCTCAGAAAATTATTTACCCTCTCCCGCCATGCGCCTCCCTCTCTGAGACCATCTTGAACTCACTATATAGCTGAGTCTGGCCTTGAACTCCTGTAGTTTTGTTTCTTTCGCCGCTTGTGATATTTTTAGTCTGCAGACTGCTGCTAAGGGAATCATATGGAACACATGCTTCCTACCTGGCTTCTTTCAGTAAGTGGGCCTGTGGGTAGGTGTGGGGATAAGAGGGCTTCCCACTTACAAGTTAGGTTCTCTGGAGGCCCCTGCTCACCTACACTTAAATTCAGTATCAAGTCTATCTTTTAAAAAAAAATTATGAAAGAAAAGAAAGAATGGGCAAAGCAATAAATAACTCACCAAGAGGGACAGTTTAGATGGCTTTAAAAAAAAAAACAGGAGCAAGGATATTGCTGTGTGGTGTGGCGCACACCTTTAATCCCAGCACTTGGGAGGCAGAGGCAGGCAGATCTCTGAGTTCATGGCCAGCCTGGTCTATAGAGCAAATTCCAGGATAGCCAAGGCTACACAGAGAAACCCTATCTCGAAAAACAAACAAAAACGGGGGAGGGAGGGGTGTCAAGGGGAATTCCGTGGGCCCATACAACACTTATTAACAAACCCTGCAGATACTTCAAATGAGAATGGTTACGTATGACTGATGCCAAAACAGCCTGGCATAACCACTTCGGAAGCCCGTCAGTCGGCAGGTGCACCTATCCTGGTGACTCACTCTGTGGGTTTATATCCCAGCCACGTGTGAGGGCACATGTGTGGGAGGATGCAGGAGAGTGGTCAGGGAAGCCTGTCTGACTGGGAAGGGCAGAGGATAAGGCGGATTCGGAAGAGGAGATGATGCTTACTGTGGGTTTAGTTTCCTCTGTTCTGTGAACTTATGAATTTTCCTGCTCACTCATGCTTCTCTATGTCTATACCTATGCTGTATTTAATGCAAAAACAAAAGAAAAAATTGCTTAGTTTTGAATTTTTCAGAGGAATACTTAGAAAATATTAGAGCTGTTTGCTATTTCCTAAAACAGTGCATGCTTCTCAAAGGAGCAGTATGCCATCCACCCAGGCAGACACATCTCTGGATGGCTGTGTGGAGTTGTCTCTTCGGGCCATTTACGATCTTGCAATGCTGCTAGCATCAGCAATCACAGCTCAGATACAGACATGGAGAGGAGAGAGAACATGATTCAGGCTACACAGAAGAGACAAAGTCCCCCCATCCCCAGGAACATGGGTTGCTCCACACAGTTTTCAGCACCAGCTGACATTCCCCACTCAGGAAAGGCCTACAGACTGAACTTAGAAACCCAAGTGCGGTCTATGACTTACTTTGAGTCTAAAAGCATTCTAAATGAATCTCTTTAACAAAATCTACTGTAAAACTAGTAAAGCTTCAATCTGTGGTAATACTTGCCTGTTGTTGTTTTTAAAAAGAACCCTTTAAGCAGTTCTCAATTAATCCAATAAACACTGAATTATGAATCTGATTCAGTATGGAAACTGAAACTAGAGCAAAACCCTCTCTGTTTATTTCCTGTCTTCAGAGCAGCAATCTCGCCTGCTTTGTTAAAATATGGAGAGAGGACAGTGAGCAGCATGTGTGCCACGGGATCTCTGGAGCTGATACTGGGAGAGGCCCCAGGAGAAGAGAGCTGGCAGTGAACTATATGGAAGAGGCAGAGGTCACACCAGGAGTTGAAAGGTGAGGCTGATGGAGTCAGATTTTCTTAAAGTCGATGAAGAACCACTCATGTATCTTTAGAGTAAGAGTGTATGATTAAGCTTGCAATCCACTTTTGCCCAGTGATTCAGATATACAGACACGGTTAGCATTTTAAGAAACGAGAAAATACACAAGTAGAAAGCACAGAGCATCAAGTGAGTGACATTTAAAAGTGGTGACAGATGGTCCTAAAATTAAGAGAAAAGTAAACAGGTGTGTCACAAAAGTTGAAAGTAAGTGACAGGAGACAAGAATACTCTAATAGGTGCAGCACCGTGAGCTTTCAATTCAGTGAGCCAAGACCACAGATTTCTTCATCTTTTGTTGCCCAAACATATTGAAATGACAATTAAAAATGTAATAATAAAAGCATGTTTTATAAGAGGGTATCAGAAAACAAAAGATTCTGGCAATTTGGTGGGGGAGAAAAAAAATCAGATCGGCAAACCCATGCAGGACCCAGCACTCAAGTGCACAGCAAACTGAATAAAGTCATTCTTCATTCTTCACAGCACACACCCCAAAGGGGGATTAGAGGTCCACGAGGTGGGTGTGCCAAAGGGGCTGAAACATGGCTATAACTATTGCCCTGACCAGGACACCTTCTCTACCCCTCACACACCAGACCTACCCCAGCTCCTTAAGCACAGGTACATAATCCATTAAGAACGAACACACCTGGTCGATAAACAAAAGGGGAGGAGGATACACATCTCAGAAGTAGGCCCCGGACAAGGCTACTGCTTGGGTTCTCCACTCCCCATGCATCCACTGGCACAAGGCTGTGGAATTGCACAAATCATGATACAGTAACTCAATCTCTCCCACAGTAAAAACAGCAATGAAAACAATCATCAAATTCAAGCAGGCGAGGAGGCTCCATGCCCTAGGAGGGCAACTTGACTGCTGATGTCCTAGATGTTGAAAGTTCATTCATCAACTCACTCACCAGACAGGTACCCATCAGACTAGAGGAGCTGGCATTTCAGGAAGCCTGTGTCAGTTCTAGTCAAAGTGTTGCTAAATGTCCACCATAATCTTGTTTTGTATGTGGTTAGGGATGAAAAGATGGGAGATTCTAGAAAATGTTTATGTAAACAGGATAGACAGCAGGTCAAAACCGGCTTTGGTTATTGTTTTTATTCTGTGTGTGGTGTTGGGGTCAAGCCCAGGCCTCACATATGCTAGACAGATGCTCGGTGCTGAGCTATACACCTCACCAGGCTTTTCTTATCATGCTTAATATATTAGACAGTGGCCACATGAAAGACTGCACCTTCCACTTCACACTGGGGCTGAAAGTACCGCAATGTGAACATGAGATAGATCAGCTTTCCCATGAAACCTCTCCAGCTACATCAAAGTCTGAATGATAAGTTAGCTGTCCATGGCTGAGTCGGGGAGAACCAGCGAAATGGCAAAATATATCCAGCAGAGACGTGAAAGTGAACACAGCATGCGACTGTCTGCCGGTGGAATAGCTTTGCCATCCTCATGTAAGTTTATGTTTCTGAAATGATTACTCTCTGCACAGTTAAAAACATAATAGCAGAAAAGCAATTCAGTTCTCTTCCATGCTTCAGTTTTATTTGTCAGCATTAACACCTCTGCAATCCTAAGTACATTTTCCCCTACAGGCAACCTCAGAATAGCTGACTGAACTATTTTTAAACTTTGATACACTGATTTATATTAAATAACTAAAATTATTTCACTAAAAGAAATGTTAGCAGTTTATTAATAAGTGGGAGAACCTACAATTTGAGCACTGTATTTAATAAATTATTAGTAACAAATTTGAACTAAGAATCAAATACATGATTGATGATGCATTTACTGATATGGTGCATGGGATTATGTTAGAATTCTCCTACAAAAACAAATGAACAGGAAAGTAACAGAACAGGGCTGCGATACACAGAACATACTCAGAACCCTGCAGCGGGTACTCGGACCCATGTGTCACGTACTGCTCAAACAGTGGCTTTAGTAGCTGACAGTTTCAAGAAAATTAAAATGTAAGTTTTAGCAAAACATGCCTGTTTTCCTCTCCGTGGCATGAAGGACTAGCAGAACAATGCTCTCAACGCAAGTCAAGCCAGCCCACCTAGCACAGTGAGATAAAGACTACACATTGGTATTAGGATACAACTATTGCCTCTGAACATTCCCATCCAGAAAAAACACACAGAAATCCCAGTGTGACAAGGTATTCGTTCAGCAGGCAGGCAGAGGCAGTGGCCTGCTGCAGCACTAAGAACTGGTGGGAAGTTACCTCCTTGGCCTCAGCTCCCACTACACAGATGCAAGAGAAGTATGTGCAGGGGCACCACACTCTAAAACCTACTGCCTGCTCCTTGAGACTTCACTGTCACCGGCACCCTCCATGAGTGACAGGTCACAACAGAGTGCTGAGATGACCACAAAGCAAAAGAGACTAAAAAGAACTTCCCCCATATATCACTGACACCTTCCTTTCCGTTGCGGTGTCAAGGCTGTGTTGCCAGCTGCTGGGGCTTTGGGGAAGTGCTTGGGTAACGAAGGCACAGCGTTCAAAAACGGCTAAGTCCACTGCATGATGTCACAGGGACATGGAATAAAGCAGGGACTAGCTGGGAGAAATAGGTTACACCCTGAAAACAGAACTTGCCCCGCGGATCTCCCCTGACCCACACCATCAAGTGAGTTTTCTTCCACACCCTTCTGCCAAAGTACAAAGTATTCTGCCTCAACTCCAGGGTAACACAAATCCAGCTGACTTTGAGCCATGACCTCTGAAACAGTGAGCTCATCATGGAACTGAAACCTGAACATGTACATAAAAATTAGGGCTCAGTAGGTAAGAGCACTGGCTGCTCTTCTAGAGGATATGGGTTTAGTTCTCAGCAAACAGTGGCTCACAACTGTCCATAACTACAGTTCTAGGGCTTCAATGCCCTGTCTGGCTTCTGCAGGCACCAGGCATGCACAATACACACACACACACACACACACACACACATATATATATACATATATATATACACACACACACACGTACATACATACAGGCACAACACTCATACACCCAATTTAAAAAAAAAACTAAAAAAAAAATGTTTTAAACATGTCTCTAAGTTTGAACACTATACCTTGAGTACTGAAGTTCGGATACAATGAATGTGAACATGATCATGTCAAACATGTTTCTAAAGCTCTGGGAATGGAAACAAACTGTCCTTTCCATCATTTCAATAAAATATAAAATTCAATTGGAAGCACAAGTGGTCCAGTTCTGCAGGACTAAGCTGATTTTAAAGGAGCAGGGTTTTGCACACCGGAACTCCAGACAAAAGTGCCTTCCTATAATCTTATTACCAACAATGAATTTTTGTTAGCTTTTCTAAAATAGTTTTTTGTTGGGATGGTGACTCTCATATTTGTTTGCACACATGATTGAGATACCTGCTATAGAACCCTAGAATGACAATGACATACTTAACTGTGCATCATACAAATGAGAAATAAAAACCCTCACAAAACCACAGAAAGGCATACACACAGCCACAACTTCAGCTCACTTCTACTCATTCCAGAATTAGTATAAAGGAGGAATATGGTTGATGTCAGAGAATAAAAACACAAGCTCCACATTTAATATAACTGCTGTGTCCTAAAGAAAGTATCACTGACGGATTTGTTCTGGAACGTCTTGTGTTAATATCATCCTATGAGAGTTCTGATTTTCTATTATAATCAGTACTCTGGGTCAAAAGAGGACGAGAACAGTTCTCTAACAACTGTCAGGATGACTCGGAGCTAGCACGCCTAGCTCAAGACAACTTAAGATTTTATTGTGCTGGTGGACTTTTGCAAAATGACAAATATTTTGACTATCTTTTACTAGATATTTACTAAAAATTAAGCAATATATACATTTTCAAATGCAGAATGAATTGTAAATTGAGCGTTAAATGTATACCTACCTTATGATATCCATAGCCTGATAGAGGATTTCAGATTGGTCAACTGCAATCACTTTCTTTGCCCCAGCTTTGGCAGCAAACATCGAGAGAATCCCAGTTCCACAGCCAACGTCCAGAACGACCTGGGAAATAAAGCAGCAACTATTGGAAAGGCTGATGTTTCCAACTGTACAAAACGTGAGAGTTCTTTGGGATAGGAACACCTTTTGATAAAAAGTTTAACTTTATTGAGTAAATATGGCATTTTTGCACAGAAACAAATTATTATGAGTTATTTAATAATGGTACAGTTGGTTATGGTCTTCTATAGTTAGGCCAATAATGCTAAATTAAGAGATACTTTGCACAAACACAGCAATTCCATGGCCAATATAAACGTGTTTTACCCTGCTATTGCCAGAGTCTAACTGAGGCTCAATGTGGGTAGAAACAAGCCTTTCAAGTTTGAGCAAAGAACTAAAGTAGATCCCATACAATTTAAAAAGTTACAAAGACAAAGGGGCATACAGAACACATGGGGAGGTGACCAGAGGGAAGGGGTAGGGACTTGAGTTGGGAGGGGAATCTAATAAACACATTTTGCTAGAGAATATTACAGTGGTATCTAATGCCTTCTATGCTAACCTGAGAAGTATCTGGAGGTAAACTGCTGGGCTTTAAATCTTTCATTGTGGTCTGGTGAAAATGGTTCAGAGCTTAAGAGCCCTGGCTGTTCTTCCAGAGGTCCTAAATTCAATTCCCAGCAACCATATGGCAGTTCACAACCATCTATAATGAAATCTGGTGCCCTCTTCTGGCTTGCAGGCATTCATGAGGGCAGAATACTTTATACATAATAAATAAATAAATCTTTAAAAAAAAATAAATCTTTCATTGTGACATCCCCCACTAATGCTATAAATTTGTTCTGAATATGTATCATTCCAGGGCCCATCTACTTTAAGTGCCAGGTACTGATCTCTATGACTTTTCTTTTAATATCATTGCAAACAAAATAACTTGTCAAGTTCCAAATAAAATAAAGCAAAACAGAGAAAAAGCAATAATACACAGTACAGGCGGGCTGGAGAGATGGCTCAGCAGTTAAGAGCATTGCCTGCTCTTCCAAAGGTCCTGAGTTCAATTCCCAGCAACCACATGGTGGCTCACAACCATCTTTAATGGGGTCTGGTGCCCTCTTCTGGCCTGCAGGCATACACACAGACAGAATATTGTATACATAATAAATAAATAAATAAATATTTAAAAAAAAATACACAGTACAAGTATACATTGTGACTATATATAGCATGACTATATATAGCAAAAGCTCCCAAACAAGTTCATTTCTGTATTGGGGACAGAACCCATAGTGTTGCCTTAAACATTCGTTAAAATACAATTGTAAAATGAGGAATAAAAGGTTGGAATGGGCCTGAGACGCTTGATCACATGCTGCACTGGCAAAGGTGAGGCCACCGATCCTCAGTCTGTTGATGGAAGGACAGCTGCTACCAATACCACCCTGGGGAAGACCCAGGAGGAATACAGTCAAGAACTCATCTTCTTTTTGCCAGAGCGGGGATCAAACCCAGACCGGATGAGCTGATTCCAAAATGTATAAAAAACTCAAAAAGTTGGACACCAAAAAAATCACATAATCCAATAAAAAAAAAATGGAGTTCAGACCTAAACCGAGAACTCTCAACAGAGGAATTTAAAATGGCTTAAAGACACTTAAGGAAATGTTCAACATCCTTAGTCACCAGAGAAATGCAAATCAAAACAACTCTGAGATTCCATTTTACACCTGTAAGAATGGCCAAGATCAAAAACATTGATGACAACTTATGCTGGAGAGGTTGTGGGGTAAAGGGAACACTTCTGCATTGCTGGTGGGAATGCAAGCTGGTACAACCCCTTTAGATGTCAGTGTGGCGATTTCTCAGAAAATTAGGAAAACAACCTTCCTCAAGACCCAGTAATACCACTTTGAGTATATATCCAAAGGATGCTCAATTGTGCCACAAGGACATGTGCTCAACTATGTTCATAGCAGCTTTGTTTATCATAGCCAGAAACTGAAAACAACCTAAATGCCCCCCGATCGAAGAATGGATAAGAAAAATGTGGTACATTTACATAATGGAGTACTACACAGCATAAAAAAATAACAACAACTTGAATTTTGCAGGAAAATGGATGGAGCTAGAAAACATTATTTCGAGTGAGGTAACCCAGTCACAGAAAGACAATTATCACATGTACTCACTCACAGGTGATTTTTAAACATAAAGCAAAGAAAGCCAGCCTACAAATCACAATCCCAGAGAACTTAGACAACAATGCGGACACTAAGAGAGACTTACATAGATCTAATCTACATGGGAAGTAGAAAGTAGAAAAGGATAAGATCTCCTAAATAAATTGGGAGCATGGGGACCTTGGGGGAGGATTGAAGGGGGAGGGCAGAGGCAGGGAGGAAAGCAGAGAGAAATGTAGAGCTCAATAATTATCAATAAAATAAAAGAAGGATAAATGTGCAGAAAGATTTAGGATATACATAGCATAGTTCAATTAAGACCGTGTTTTCAGGCTGGAGAGAGAGTTCAGTGGTCAAGAGTGCTTGCTAGGCAATCATGAGGACTAGAGTTCAGACCCCAGCACCCATGCAACAAGCCTAGTGTTGCAGGCATGCCTGCAACCACACCTCTGAATGGGGCAGAGACAGGAGGGTTTCTGGGGCTTGCTAGCTCCCATCTAGCCAATTTTCCCTGAGCCCAGGTTCAGGAAAGACTCTGACTCAGGGGAATTGGGTGGGGACACAACACAGGAAGACGCTTGATGCCCTCTTCTGGCCTTGGAGCCTGTGCCAAGAGGTACATACCACACAGACATAGTCTCTTTCTCTCTCTCTGTCTCTCTCTCTCTCACACACACACTCTCTCTCTCTCACACACACACACACAATCCTCATTTATCAAATGAGCAAAGTAAATTCCAAAGAGAGGAAGAAATAGGTTCAGAGCCCACAGCTGGTGAACCGTGTGCCTGGCTTCTGACCCAGGTCATCTGCTTCCAGAGCCTGATCATACTCTCCACTGACCTTCAGTAGCTAATTACATCTAGCTGATAGCTGACTCATCAGACAGGCAAAACCTGACAAACTCCGACAAAGTGGTGAGAATGACAAAATAATTGGTGCTATTTTATAAAATGATAATGGAAATGGATTTCCTTTTCTGTAAAATAAGTAAATAATAAAGTGAATGAGCAGACTTTAACTGTAGATAGAAGCCCACAGCATAAAGAAGGCACCTGACTGGGGATTTCCTCAACGGACTCCAAACAAATTAATTATGAGCTCGTGAGAGGATGATTAAATGTCACCCAAAGTTAAATTAATTGAGCTACCATATGGCCTCCACAGGAATTTTGAGAATTGAAACAATATTAAGGAAGGAAAGAGGACAGTGAGGGAAGAGGAAGGAAGACCATTTTTAATTACAGCCCCATTGAAAAAACAGCAATGGTGCACTATGTGTTTGTGAAGATAAACGGCACAGGTGTGGAGGGCAGAGGACAACCTCAGGTGCTAGTCTGGAACAACATCTCTTTGTGATCTACTCAGTGTGCCCCAGGCAAGCTGCCCAGAGCTTCTGGGAGTCTCCTGGCGCTGTGCCCCTTTTGCCTGAGGGGCTCTTGGGTTATGGACCAGTGATGTGGGATATGCTTCTGTATATGTTTTGCTTTTATTGGTTGATGGATAAAGCTGTTTCAGCCAATGGCTTAGCAGAATAAAGCCAGGCTGAAAGAAATAAAAGGAGAGTAGGTGGACTCAGGGAGATGCCATGTAGCTGCCAAAGGAGATAGACACAGGACAGAACCTTACCAGTAGGCCACAGCCTCGTGGCTACACCAAATAATAGAAATTGGTTAATTTAAGATGTAAGAGTTAGTTAATAAGAAGCCTGAGTTAACAGGCCAAACAGTATTGTAATTAATATAGTTTCTCTGTTATTATTTGGGTCTGGGCAGCCGGGAAATGAACAAGCAGCCTCCATTTACTGACCGGCTCCTGCATCTAGCTTCGTGTGAGTTATAGAGATGCAAACTCATTGGTCCTCATGCTTGCACATGTAACCACTAAGTCATCCCCATCCCATAACAGTACTTTGAAAAGCAAACCTCTACTATGCACTGTACAGTATGATATAGAAGCTGGTGTTATAACATGAAGTCTACTTAATATATAAAAGTAATAAAAGGCAGGAAAAAATATACAATGTCATAGACTTTTAAAACAAAGACATAAACAGCTACATGACCATGCCACATACAAATGTGTGTGAATATCCACACTGTAACAAGTCCCACCCTAACTACCACCTCTCCTGCACTGACACACTGCTTCTCAGTTGAAGAGCAAGGCTCACAAGCACTACATTAGAACACAAAGTCTGGAGTTTTTTCCAGTTCCGTGTTTTGAAGACATCAATAAACCTCCCTGTTTGAAGTAAAGTTGATAAGTAACAGGCAAAGCAGACAAATGGCACCTAGATTCAGTGTTACACAATGACTTATGCATTAGCAAATGCACTTAAATACATGGTACTGCATCTCCTACAGCCACAGTGCAAGAGGAGATAAAAGCTGTAGACTATTTAATACTCTGAACCACAATAAAGTATGCTTATAATGTGCTTTAACAAAAATATTTTACATTGAAGTGACCTTTGAGAAACCACAAATGCTGAGCAAAATTCATCACACTGATAAAGTTAATGGCTAATACCTCAAGCAAAGCAGCAAGGAGGTGCTCACACAAACCTGCCATCTCCTTACCTGGACAGGCTCTCAATGAGAGCAGTGGAATGCCACAAACTGACTCCACATAGTTTGACACAGTTCACTGCTAAGTCAAAAGTACCATGTTTTGTTTGCTTGTTTGACTGTCTTCTGTGTGTGTGCATATGTGCATGCACATGTATGTCCAGACGTTCATTTACATGTATGTTCGCTAGCACATAGAGACCAGAGATTGACTTGGGGTACCTTACTCTACCACTCACCACCACTGGAGCCCAGATTCTCGGATGACTCGGCCTGCTAGCTAGGCATCTTGGTGCAGGGAGCCCCCAGTGCCCCCAGTGCACCTGACCACAGATGGGCTGCCACAGCCCTCGGTAATGACATGGATGCTGGGAATGTGCACTCCAGTCCTCCTGTTTTTGTGGCAAGTGCTTTATCACTGATCCATCTCCCTAGTTACCCCCACCCCGACACACAGAGATACACAGCATACAGATACACAGCACACAGATACACAGCATTGCCACAAAGAAACTAGAAGCAAAAGTCGCTGCGTACAGGTTCATGAACTTAGTAAGCACTCTTCCTAGCCACATGTAATATTTCAAAAGACTAAGTCCTCTGGTAACTAGTATTTGAACCCTTTTACTCCAGAGTGCACTGAGAGAAAAATTTCTAAATACCATTTCAGTTCCTACGCATTCATATCACAAAGAAATGAGAAGATGAGCTGGGCGGTGGTGGCGCACGCCTTTAACCCCAGCTCTTGGGTGGCAGAAGCAGGTAGATCTCTGTGAGTTCGAGGCCAGCCTGGTCTACAAGAGCTAGTTCCAGGACAGGATCCAATGCTACAGAGAAATCCTGTCTTGAAAAACCAAAACCAAAAAAGAAAATAAATAAATAAAAAGATGCCTCAAAGACACGAGGGTGCTCTGACAATAGCAATTGTCAATGAGGAAGGATTCGAAAGTTCAGTCTGTAGGTGAGGCACACACCAACTCCCATGTGACCAGATCCTACAGCTGGCTCCTGTCTGGCTAGACAAGGACCTTTTCATTTCTACACAGTTTACTAGGTTAAGAATAAAGTAAAAATAAATAACAAACTGCAATTAACCAAATTGGAACTCTAAAGTGACATTTTCATGGGGCCATCACATCGACAGGTACTTGCACACACACAGTATACAGACAGACAAGTAGGTATATACATGCAGGCATAAAAAAATTAAACTTAAAACAGAAAGCCATTCCAGATATGCCCCAGTGTGAAAACAGAAGTGGCCCTAATAAGGAAGGTCTCCATTTTCTGTTCCTCCATGACAGAAAGCCCTGGAACTAACGTACAGGAGCTTGAAGATGGAGAACTAGAAACACCTGCATGCTCTCAATGTAGAGGCTTGAAGGAAGAACAATGGAGGGAAACTCCAGGAAAGGGACCAGATGGCAGGATGGTAACTCCTGACTAGATTAGCGGTAACGTCTAAAAAAGACTAACAGAAACAGGATGCTTTGGGACAGAGTGGAGAGAGGAAAATGTAAGAACTTGTGAGGATTACTATACACACACAGAGACACATGTACATATGTACACATACAGACATACATACACACATGTACATACAGACACACACACAAAGAAACACTCAGATGTGCACAAACTCGTGTGCACACATGCATAAAAAGAGAGACAGATACACAAAGACATACCCAGAGCATGCGATCATCTTTTAAATAAACAACATGGCTGTCAAGATGGCTCAGCAGGTAAAGGTGCCTGCGACCAAGCTTGAATCTGATGCCTGAGAATCACAAAGTGGAAGAAGAGAATGGACTTGTCAAGTTGTTTCTGCTCAATGCGTGCGCTCGCACGCACACACACACACACACACACACACACACACACACACACGACTAGTGAGATAGATAGTTCAGTAGATAAAGGCACTTGCTGCCAAGCCTGACAACCTGGAACCTACATGGCTCAAAGACAGAACTACCCTCTGACCACCACATGCATTCTGCGGTACGCATATACCCACCCCACCATACACAATACATAATATAAAAAAGAGAGAAAAAGGTTAAGCAAAATGCAATTAAGTTTTTAAGCAAGTTAGACAATATTAAAACTGATTACAAGATGCCCCATAAAGCAATAGATTCACAAAGGACTAAATCCTACAGAAAAAATCTAGCTTGCATAAATTTCACTCTAGTCAACATTATGAATGTTTAACTATACAGCACAGTGGAATAATAATTAAGAGTGTACTTCGCCATGGGGTATAACTGATATATTCCAATCACAAACAAATCACCATAAATCAAATATTATAGTCTAGACTAACCTGATAGGCGAAGTTTACTAGGCTCTATTTCTGTAATGAATGACGTCCAGCTTTACAAAAGAGCCCCGAATAGCAGCCCCATCAGCACCTTGGACAGCAGACTGCAGCACCACAAGGCTCCTGGGAAGCAAAGCCTGAGTCAAACATCCAGGAGGGCCAGTTTAACGACCGTAACTCACCTTATCTTTGAAGATATGTGGATTTTGGTATATGAAATCTCTGTAGCTTTCTGTGCGGACTTTGTCCTAGAATAGAAAGCATAGCACTGTGTTTACAGGGACAATCTGAGCAAATTAATTCTTCTATGAACTTACGGCTACTGAATTATACTGCTAGCTTCAACAGTTAGGTTCTGCCTGGGAAACTGAGCTATTTAATTTTTTTTCTAAAAGAAAATAAAGAACAAATTTTCAACAACATATACATTTTTTATATAAAAGTAACAGTGAAAGTCAGATCTAGCCATTAGTTTGAAATGTGCATGTCTTTCTCTTTTCACACAGTCACTGTGAGGCTCAGGAGATGATAAACACTAGGAGAAGGACCTTTTCAGCTGAGCCTGGCTCCCTGCACTGAAGCTAGGGACAAGGATCAGAAAAACAGAACATGAAAAGGTGAGGTACACAGGGATCGCGAATCCACACTGCTGAAGTTCTTATAAGAAAGCCACATCAGCATCTGATTTATAGCACTATTTGTTTCTAGAAATGTCTGCAGTAGGAAATGATGCTTCAAAGCCTGTAGGCCTAGAAGGAAATCGTGTGAGCCCTGCAGTGCACACTACCAGACTCCACGCTCAGGAGTTTCTCATAAGCTGTGACCATGCAGGCCTATAGCATTTTCACACTGTTGCACCCCTAAGTCAGACACACAGCCTGCAGGTGACGGGGGAGAGCTCAGCAGCCAGCGAGGAAAACTGAGTGCAGTAAAAACAGGTGTCACCAAGTGAGATTCTAGCTTTGGGTTTCACATAAAAATAAAGACTGTCTGCTGGTGGGGGCACACACCTTTAATCCCAGCACTCAGGAGGCAGACGTAGCAGGATCTCTGTGAGTTCAAGGCCAGCCTGGTCTACAGAGGGAGTTCCAGGACAGGTTTCAAAGCTACAGAGAAACCCTGTCTCAAAAAACCAAAAAGAAATTCTCAAGAATAAAAAAAAAAAAAAAGACTAACAAATAAAAATCACATGCCCCTTTCAAAGGACACCATTTTGTACATTTTCTGCTGAAACAACAGACTTCAGAGTGCGTCAGTCACAGATGCAGCAGCTCAGAAGGTTCGGACCCATCACCCCGTCTTTCCATGCTCCAACTACAGTCCTAACTGCAGGCACTGCTTCCTGGCTGAGCTCTGCTCCCCGTGGCCTCAGCCATTGTCTGTGTTGTTCGTAAGCTCATCACACGGAGCCTCGGCTGAATAACTGACCTTTGCTAGAAAAACCCACAATCATGGATAGGAAAGCTACTAAAGAACTCGCCTTAAACACTGTTTCCAAGCCAGGATGGCGGTGAAGCCTCTGACCCCGCAACATGTGGCAGTGGGTGTTGAAAGTCAAGTCATCTTGTCTAAACAGAGAATCTAGGCCAGTCTAGGCTACATGAGACCCTGCCTCACACAAACAAAACAACAACAAAGAAAATCTTCAAAATGAAAGTTCGGAAGATTTACTCTAATGAAGACTAACGTGAGTACAGAGTAAAACCTGGAGTGCACCTTTCACACCAACCAGAAGAAAGGAACAAACCAGAGCTCGGATCCGCAGGAGCCCCGTGTGCAGGTGAGAGGCGCTCAGCAACATTCCTCCAGACAATCCACTGCAGATGAGCCTCAAGCCTCATGCTACAATTTTATATCCGCCCATCACCTCAAGGTGCACTGGCAGAGGAAGGGGACACAAAGCCCAGGCCAGCTGCAGGTACCCATACTTCATGCTATGAACAGCACGGTGACCAGCACACCCACACACCCAGACAGCAACTGCCGTAGCAAACGCAGACAGACTGGGGTGCAGCCCAGGATCTGTCTTATAGCTAACAAGGAGCAAGGGCTATCTAAAGTTTATTTAAACTATACCCTGTCTACTGAGTCTTTAAACTTTAAACAATTACGTTAATCCAAACCCTAGAAGTAAGATTACAATTACGATAAAATGTCTGCACCCAAACAAGAAAACCCGCCCATCAGTCTATAAATGCTTTACACTAAGTGCTTCCCAATGTGAAATTCTTGTCAGAATTAGGTAGATTTTCTGTCACAAGATCCACCGAACAGTTTATTTGTGCTGAAAGCTGTTCTGGTGAGAAACAGGAAATACAGCCTGCTCCAAGGCACGCCCACTTCTTAACTTAGCCAATATCAAACCCACCAACATCTCCAAGAGCAATCCTGTAGCACAGGAAGGGAAACTAAGTCAGAAACTGTGCCTAAGTGATCCTTTAAAAGTAAAGAACCTCTCATCTGGAGTCTCCGTTTGCAGTGGTCACGTGTCAGTCTCTAGTTGCTGGCACAGGCACAGGAGTCCTAGGCAGAGCTAGCTCTGCTCAGCTGTAAGCAAAGTAGCCATCTCTTCTCATTGCAGTGGAAAGGCTTCCATCCACGGCAACTCCAGTGACCAGGACCTGTCTGCAAAGGCTGCCCAGGTTCCACAGCAGATACAGGGGGCATGCAGCACTAAGTTGACAGGGATCTAAAACAACCAACCGGGCTTAGATGATACTTTATTATCACAGAAACTATTCTACCACGAATATGAAGATGCATGGTGTTGTGGGATATCTGATCACACTGTGAAACTCTGAGACTGTGTTAATAAAATTAACTTTGGATGGGGGCAGAGCCACAGACTAGGTGACAAGAACTAGCCACACAGAAGACACACAGGAAGGAATAGAGAAAGATTTAGAGATTCACAGCCTTTTTTTGATCAGGGACGTGTGGAGAGAGATGCGCTTGCTGAGTCTGCGGTTAAAAAAGGCAGGTTGACTGGTCGCTCCTCCTCTACTTCTCTGATCTATCAGGTTTTACTCTTATTCCTGTAATCTGCGATCGTTGGTAAATGTGCTGTAAGTAGGTAAAGTTAGAAACTACTTCTCTCTTATATGGGCATCACTACTGTGACTATTAAACCTGAACAGATTCAAATATCAGGGCTGACCACACTGGGAAACATCTCTACATTTTCAGTGATTCATGATACTGTGAGAATTATTGAAATTAACCTTAAGATAACTGTTTGCCCAAACCAAGTCAACATTGCTATTTTAAAAACTCAAACTGTTTCTTTTCCAGGTTAAAAAACAAACATGTCATTTAATTCCTACTTAACATGGTAGATGTTCCTAGAAAGACCAGACCACAAAACAGTTGTTTTTTTTTTTCAATTTCAAGTAAAAACGTGTCGTCACAAAGAAAAGATGAACGCTGTCTTAAATAGGATTCACAGGGACTTGACCCCTTTGTAATCTTTTCATCTGAGGAACAGTTATCTAAGCACAAGAGGTACACACACACATACTCGCTCACTCGCTCTTAAGTATTAAGGCCTATCTTGCAGGGTTCTCCCTTGGCGGATTTGAAGCACATGAACTCTGTCCAACCTTCAGCATTTCTTCATGTATCCCATAATGCCCGTAGGAGCTGAAGTAGACACCATCCTCATCCTCCTGCAGGTCTGCAATGGCAGTGGTGGAGGAGCAGGTTCTGACATCTACGTTCATCACAAAGTCCTGAGCAAATTGTCTGTAATCAATTTGAAATACACCCTTGAGACAGGTTTACTGGACCATGAGAAAGGAAAGGCTGGAGGGTGAGGAAGGGGAGGGGGACTGGGACAGTGTGCCCAGAATCTTAAATCCTGTTCTAGCTAAAGCCCCGACAGCGCCCTCTGCTGGATCTGAAGCAATGTCTGGGTACACTGCTTTATTCAAATGTATTTTTCCTACTGTTCTAAAAACCCTTTTTAGCATTTAAATCAATAAAGCCTGTTTCAACTTTGAATGCTCTTAAAATGGGTTAAATGAGCAGAAAGCAGACCCAAGTCAGCTGATCCTACTGACTCCAGTTCCCACACTCAGCTGGTGACACACTAGTGATCTACAAGGTAGACGAGAGGGAGGAGGACAGAAGAACAAAGCTGAGCTGGTGATGGGGGACTAAGTTCCCAGCATAAAAGTCAGAAACAAGGACGAGGAACTTGATAGACTCTGCTCTCCCTGGCACCAGACATTCTGGCCAGCCGTCACATAGGAACTCGGGTACTAGCAACCAGCTTACAGATCCAGAAGGTGGCATGTATGGGTCCACATGTGAAGGCCTGTGCCACCTCTAGACTACCAAGCGCCCCTAGGAGATGCAGGACTCCTGGAGAATGAGAACTCGGTGGGGGGAAACTACCCTGTCTCTCTGGTTCTTTGGCTGTTCTACACTACTGTCACATTTTGCTTTTTAAAAACAATTCAACACTTTCCCCCAATACCTAAAATAATAATAATTCTTTTGTTACTGAAAAATTAGGATAGGACAATTAAAGAGGTGAAACCAACTAGAAATAAGAAACTTGAAAAGCAGGAAGTATTAAAAACAAATATTCAAGAGGAAATTAAAAGAGCCACATGCAAAGTAACTATGGAGTATTTACAAGTAGATAAAAATGCAGTTCTACAGTAATCTATATCCACACGCTATGAAACTCCTAAAGTAAGCATATCCACTGAGTGTCTAGTATTCCAAGTGTTCTACCCAGAACTACACTACATCTAAGGCAGCGTTTGGTTGGACCGGCAGTTACTTCATCTTCTGCAGATCCTCGCGTGCTCGAGCCAAGGCAGCCTCAGCAGACAGCGCCCGCGCCTCCATGAGCTTCAATTTTTCAACAATGGACGTATTTTCACTGAGTCCATTGGGGTATGAGAAGGGAGTCGACACCGGCTCATAAAGATCTTCTACATCTAAAAGATACAGACATCATTATCAGATTACCTCACAACAGCACAGTGGGGACAAACAGCTTAAGTGCCAACCATGGGCAAGTGAGAAAAACTATTCAAAGCACTTTTCACAATACTTGACATCCAAGCTCTCTGATTTGATCGCATGGAGTATGAGAGCCTGCTTTTCATTAGCCAGCTAAACTGAGCATGTGCATGCACAGACAAACGAAACCAAACACAGGGGGAACCTTCGGGGTTTCCCAGTAAGTTCTCAAGAGTGTGCATATTACACTACATCTCGCTCTCAAAACAACCTGATATGCAAACAGTTATCCCTACTTCAGACACAGGGAAAATAAATTTCAAAAAAGCTAAGTGACCAACTCAGAAGTCATACAGTTATTTATTGGAGAAGAGAAAACTCAAAACCTGTCTTACCAGCCCAGGTTCTTGACCCTTACAGAGCCACCTCTCAGTCTGTGTCCTTAGCCCCAGAATGGGAGAGAGCATGTGCAGACACACAGGCCATCCTGCTGGGTGTAGCAAGAATGAGCCTGGAGGGTAACGTGTGAAGGAAAACACACCAATACCAAAGGGCAAACACAAAATCTCACTCAGCAGTGCATTTACAGAGGCAGAGAGAGAATTGTGCTGCCATAAGCCAGGGCGGTAAGCTTTTACTTCAGGTGAACACAGTCAGGACATCTCACGCATGTGACTACAGCTGATGCCCTGGTGTACAGTGAAATGTGCCAATACAGCAGACCTTAAGTGTTCTCATCACACGTAAAATGGTAGGTAAAATGCTGGATGCTGATTTGCTTGACTGCGGCAATCATTTCATAATACCTATGTTCACAGGATCCCAATCCTGCACCCCAAAGGTTATATTCAATCACACCTTCATCAAATGAGGAAGACAGGTCATTCTTTAAGAACTTCCGTATATCCAAAACCTTCCCATCCTGGGCAAGACACTAATATTTTATTACTTATATTATGATGCAGCAAAAATCTTAGGTTAAAAAAAAAAACATTATCTTATTGGGAAGTCGTGGTGCTGTCTTTAATCCCAGCACTTAGAGGCAGAGGCAGGTAGATTTCTATGAGTTTAAGGCCAGCCTGGTCTACAGAATGAGCTCCAGGACAGACAGGGCTACACAGAAGAACCCTGTATTGAAAAACAAAAACAAAACAAACAAACCAAATTTTGACTTAATCTTAATTATGTCATTAACTTCTAGCATACAAACAACTGTGCAAACAGAGATGGAGCCAGTGATTCTTCAGCAGCCCCAGAATCAGCAGCAGATCAACTATCAGGTCTACCTAATGCACAAACACTGCTGGCGCTGTTCTCTTCCATGCAGTACTCTGCCCCCATTCAGGATTCTGCTGTGATACTTATGCTGTGACACTTCTTCAGGGTTGGGACCCAACAGCAAAGCCAACCAGGACACACAGAGCCGCACCACTGACCTCCATTCAGAGACAGAACAGAGCCATCTCGTGCATTTGAACACTCAGTCCCCAGCTGGTGCACTGTTCAGGATGTTATAGATCCTTTAGGAGGTAGAGCCCACTACAGGAAGTGGGTCACTGGGAGTTTTATTTATTTGTATTTATGGTATGTGTATCTGCTAGTCTGGGTGTGCATCATATATAGGCAGGCGCTAACAGAGGCCAGAAGAGGGTGGCATATCCCTTGGAAATGGAGTTGTGACCTGCCATGTGTGTACTGGGAACCAAAGAGGCAGTGTATGTTCTTCACCTCTGTGCCATCTCTCCAACCCCATTCTAAGCCTCATCCACTCTAGACTTTCCCTGCTAGTGTAGAATGAGCCTTTCAAAAGGTCAACAAGGGGCTGGAGAGATGGCTCAGTGGTTAAGAGCATTGTCTGCCCTTCCAAAGGTCCTGAGTTCAATTCCCAGCAACCACATGGTGGCTCACAACCATCTGTAATGAGGTCTGGTGCCCTCTTCTGGCCTGCACACATACATGCAGACAGATTATTGTATACATAATAATTTTTTTTTTTAAAAAAAAAAGGTCAACAAGAATAAGCTGTTGCTCCTTCCAACTACATCTTTTTTTTTTTTTTTTTTTTTTTTTTTGGTTTTTCGAGACAGGGTTTCTCTGTAGCTTTGGAGCCTGTCCTGGAACTAGCTCTTGTAGACCAGGCTGGCCTCGAACTCACAGAGATCCGCCTGCCTCTGCCTCCCGAGTGCTGGGATTAAAGGAGTGCGCCACCACCGCCCGGCCCAACTGCATCTTTTGAGTACCTGATCAGATCAACCACAAAACCAATACAAATCCTTACTTGGTATTTTATTTCCAAATTCAAGCTGTTTGGCAAGCTTGGCTTTAATTTGGCTCCAATAAAAATTAGTCATAATTTAATATTAATATGCAGCACCGTTTAGGGATGTTAATGTTATAAACTGAAGGGAAAGAGAAGCAATAAACAATAGCAGCCCTGGAGGAGGTGGCCCTACTGCATGAAGCACTGAGTACTGTGGGAAGCAGAACTCTACAGAGTTCATAGAGAACAGGCCTGTTCTCTTTAAGAATATATTGCTCCAAGTGTGGTTGCCCACAATTTATTCAGCCACTCTCTTTTGAAGGGAGCATTTACTTTCTAATAAATAAGCTACAATGCTGCAATAAGTAATTCTGTGTGTCTACTTGGAATGAGAGAGCAACACAATGTTCAGGAGAAAGAATGCAGTCTTGTTGGGGCTGGGAGTACTTTAGGGTCAAACCTAGGATATGAGAGGCAAGCATGGCTCCATTGGCTCAGCTACATCCCCTGGCCTGAGATTCATTCTTTCTGTGAACACTGACAGCCTGCGAGGTCCTCAGAGATGAAGCCATGTCCAGAGGGTGGCTCTACAGGAGGCCTGAAAGTGAACCTTCTCTGAACCATGTTTTCCGTATCATACTACAGATCCATCATAAAGTTTAATCGATAAACAAAACACAAAAATAAATTAACAACAATTAATGACAAACATAACAAGATGCTATAATAAAAAGCATATGGATACAGTCTCCCGAAAGGATCACGTGACTATGAGTGCTATGTTACTGCAGTACACAATCCCATCACTACAACCGAAGAGTGGGGAGCACACAGTTTGGATACACTGAACAGAACCAGGAGGCACAGGCCATGGGGAGAAAGAACTGCCCTGCACAATACTTCATGCCTTCAGAACAGCAACCAACTTAAAACTCACAAACTGGTTATTTTGGGAAATATTTACCCTTTAATCAACCAGGTAAAACAATGGAAAGCAAAAAAAAAAAAAAAAAAAAATCACTTGGGGCAGAGGTGGGTATGATTAACATTCATTTTCACAAAGCACTTCACTTTCGTTTGGTGTAACAAGCGGTGAGGCCAGCTAAAGCAGATAAAGAAGGTTTATCTTACCAAACTGAAGCAAAAGGTCATCTTCCAGCACTGGCTTCAGGTACTCATCCTTCTCCCAAGGCACAGGGCTGTATATGGAATTCATATACTCAACCGTAGGATTCTGGATATGAAGTTAAAGCACACTGTATTCGTTACATGGAATAACAAAGCTCCCTTAAAAAGAGTGGGGAACTTAAGCAAGAAAAAAAAAAAAGAACTCAATTTGCACAAGACTGGTACATCTGTGCTTAGCTGCCATTTTAAACGGCTGAAGTATATTCTCTTATTGTCTGATGCAGGCAAAGTGACCCCAGCTCAAACATTCATTTAAATAGGACAAACAACAAAATGCTTGAAAAAAAAAACAAACAAACTGAACAATGTAGGAGAGATGGCTCAAAGGTTAAAAGCAGTGGCTGTTCTTCCAGAGGAGGTAGGTTCTATTCCCAGCACCCACATGATGGCTCACAGCCACCTATAACCCAAGTTCCAGAGAATCCAACATCCTCCTCTTCTGGCTTCCGCAGGCACCAGGAACGCAGGTAAAACATTCATACACAAAAATTAAAACAGAAATTTTAAAAAAAGAGAATAATCTGTGAAAAAAAAACACCCAAAGTACTTAGAATCAGACTAGAAATTATTGGATTTTACAGAAACAGTTTTCCTTTTATCTGACAATTGCTTTTCGCACAGTATCGATTTAACACTGTTAAACAGGGAAGGAGTAAGCAGGTGACACCCCCACCTGGAGCTTCACCCTGCACTCTGTCCTCACACCCACAATTCCTACAATATGAAAATGCCAGATCTGAAACAACTGCTAATATTCTATTAAGTAATCAGCATGGCAACCTATGCAAACTTCATAAATTCAGTTTCCAGGTCAGGAAGCCCTGGCACAAGCCTTTAATCCCAGCACTTGGGAAGCAGAGGTGGGCGGGTGTGAGTTCAAGGCCAGTGTGGTTCAAGGACAGTTAGGGGTGTTACACAGAGAAACCCTGCCTCAGAAAACAAACAAACAAATAAATAAATGAACATTAAGTTTCCAACTTACCTTAAGTCTAATAAAATTTATTAGTTTAATGTATCCATAAAATTCAAGTCCTAAATGGAAGAAGAGAAGTCACAGATTTTAATATATGTGTTTTAACTGACACATAAGCGTTCTTGACCTCTAAACTATCACTTTTGTTTGGAATTTTGTGTTAAGAATTAGAAACTATAATTTTCATACTTGTAAATACCTAACTGAGAAACAGCCATATTTAACAAGTTTCAAGGTGCTTTTCTTGCATTTTTTATTATTATAATGTATAATGTGGGAGGTATGGTATGTGTGTCGGGGAGGGGTGACAGGTGTGTGTCCTGGCTGTCTTTTTCCACCTTTGCGGAGCAAACTCAGGCTGTCATACTTGTGTGGCTAAGTGGATAAGCGCACTTACACAACAAGCATGAGGACGTGAGTTCGAATCCCCAACACCATATAAAACACCAAGCAGAGGGGTGGTATCTTACAATGTCATTGCTTGGGAGGCAGAGACCAGGGATCATTTGAGTAGGCTGGCAAGCCAGACCATCCACATCAGCAAGTTCAGGGTTCAAGTGAGAGACCCTGCCTCAACCCAGGAAGTGGAGTACAACTGGGGAAGTCACCTGACATCCACTTTGGGGAAGCAAGCACAAAGAAAAGGAAGGGTCTGGAAAATTATAAAATTTGAGGCTAAACTTCACAAACAAAACTGTTTTTATTCTAAGAGATACTCACCATGTTTATGGACCATACTATCAATATTAAATTGATGCTCCAACTTACAGTGTGAAAATGTTTCCTCAGCAGACGTGAACAACCTAAAGAGACAAGCAAAGCCTCATGGGACAGTCTGCAGAAGAAGTCAAAGTACTGACCCCCGCCCCAAAATTACCCAAAGGCTTCTGAGTAACACAGCTTTCCCTGATAAATTTTGTGTCATAAAAGTTCCCTACTTGATTCTCTATCTCCTCCCGGAGGTGAACCAGCAGGGCGCATGCGTTTAGACAAAGCATACAGCTGGCACACTGGCTGTCCACAGCCCCTACATTACAACGGGAAGAGTAACACTTCTGTTTGTCCCCTCCAACACTGAAGGACACGGAGGACAAGAACGCACAGCAGAGACTCTGCATCCCTTCTCTGTTTGCCTAGCGCACAGGTAAATGCTTGCCAGGATAGGTCATCTGGAGCGTCCTCACAGCTATCACAGGGCACTGCACCAATAAATGTTCATTCCTCCTCTCCAGTAAGGTGCCACCTGGGAACTCATATGTCACCAGTCTGCAACATGCCCCAAATGTTGGGGGCTCAGCAGCACTGGTCAATGTCAAACACCCCTTTTGAGCCCACACACCCAAAGTTACTGTCTTGAAACTAAGATGCAAAAAGTAGATGTGTTCTGGGACTGTAAACCCGCAGCTTCGTGACCTTGAACAAGCTGGTGGCTCTGCAGCCTCATTTCCCCTAAGTACAAAAGGCATCAATTCCTCCCTCAATCATGGAGGTGGGCTAGGGCTGTTTACCTGGCTCCAGGAGAAGACTACTGGTAATGTTACAGGATGGCAGAAACAGAAACGCCCTCCAGAGTGTGCACTCCCAAAATCGTTACCCAAGTAACAGGATTAAAACTACCCATACTGTGTCTTCCTTCATGGAAACAGAGGACTCCATCCCTGATTTAAGACTGAAGTGTAGAGTTCTGCTTTTTCGGTGTGTGGGGGAGGTCAAGCAAGGTAGTTCAGGTTAGCCTGGGATTCATGGCCATTCTCCCGCCTCAGCCTCCAGAGGGATTGTATGCCAAGCCCGAAGTATGATGTGTGTGTGTGTGTGTGTGTGTGTGTTGGGGGCGTTGACTGGGTCCCGGAGTATGATCTGTGTGTATCTGTGTTGGGGGCGTTGACTGGGTCCCGGAGTGTGTGTGTGTGTGTTGGGGGCGTTGACTGGGTCCCGGAGTATGACCTGTGTGTATCTGTGTTGGGGGCATTGACTGGGTCCCGGAGTGTGTGTGTGTGTTGGGGGCGTTGACTGGGTCCCGGAGTATGATCTGTGTGTATGTGTGTTGGGGGCGTTGACTGGGTTGCAGAGACAAACCCAGAGCGGCTCCCGGCTCCGCCCCCCCGGAACACGTGAGCGGCCCCTGTCAATCAGCAGCCAGACGTGGGCCACGGCCTCCGGCCCGCCACGTGCTAGCTAGTTCCGTCGCGCGCTTGCCACGCGGGCACGAACCTGTCACAGAACAGGCAGGGCGTGTGCTGCCGGCCGTGCGCGGGCTCAGCATCCTCGTCTTCCCAGCCGGCGTCGTCTCCGCTGTCCGACAGCTCCGGGGGCTCCGGCCCCAGCTCGGCGCCTTGGCCTGCGGGGCACACAGTCAGCGCCAGCGCCGGGACCCGCGCCCGCCCTCCCTCGCCCCGCCGCCCGCGCGAGGGACCCACCGTTCCCCGCCGCCAGCGAACACATGGCCGCCGACTAGGCGCGCGGCCGCACAGCGCGGCACCGGAGCCACGAGCGAGCGCGGACGCGCGGTAGCCACCAAGCAACACAGACGCCGGCCGTGCGCCGGCCCGAGAGCGCTTCCGGGTCACGTGGGGCTACGGGGGTGGGGCGAGAGGACGGGCGCCACTCCCGTCCGCTGCAGAGTGGACGCGTGCGCAAAGGCAAGGTTGAGCGCGACCTGCCGCAGCGCCATCTGGCGGCGGAGGTGGTCAGTGCAGGCTAGGCTCGGAACTCCAGAGCCCAGTACAGAAGAAAGGCTCCGGGGGGGGGGAAAAAAAAAAAAACCTTTCTGCCTGAAAGCTGGGTATGCACTGTTGATATCAAATGGAGCCAAATCCTCCCCGCCCCGCGCCTCCTACTAGGGGTGTTAAAGTGGGAAAGTGAGAACATGGGGACACACACTCTTTGAACCCTATTTCAGTAGCTAGAATTCTAAGATCGTAAGACCCCTGCCTTCTCTGGGCCTCAGTTTCCTGTCTGGTAAAACAAACACGATCATGACTGTAGTAGCCTGAGGGCTATAGTGAGGGTTACATGGGTTCATGTGTGTTAAAAATTTAGGCATTAACTTGATCCCACACCATGGAAACAAGAGGACTGTTTGGTATGTGCCAGCAAACGATGCTGTCTACCTGGCAATGGGGCGATTCCCACTTGTCAGGCTGCTTCCTTTCTAATATTCCTAGTATCTAACCATGGAATTCCCTCAGACAGGCGAGCAGCAGTAATTCTGGGTAGGTCATGCCTACAAGCTGCAGTCTAAGGCTGGATTACGCATGGGGCATGTTTGAGGACATAGCCAGCTAGGCTTGCCTAATGCTTGCCATCAGCTCGGCTCAACTGCCCGCCGCCGTGCACACCCTCAAACCTGTGTCCTGCTGATCTCTGAAGCGCTTTAGTGGGCGGTTCCGCCTTTTCCGCTCCACCACCCGGACTTTCCTCACATGGCCACCGTTTATTTTTTTTTTAATGTTTTTATTGAGAATTTCATACAATGCATTTTGATCATATTCCTCCCCCACCCCTTAACGCCTTTCGGGTCTATCCACCCCCACCCCTCTTCCTACCCCTCACCTTTGTATCATTTTTTTAAAAAAATCATTAACATGGGTTCTGGTTTCTAGGGTCCATATACTCTGGGTGTGGGGACATCTGCTGGAGTGTGGTCAACCCACCAGAGGCCACATCCTTAAAGAGAACTCGCATCTCCCTCTCCCATAGCTCCTCAGTTGGGAGTCGGGGGGCTCATGAATCCCCGCCCCTCCACATGAGAATGCTGACTGGCTTGGTCTTGAACAGACAACCATAGCTGCTGGGTTTGGCACAGAGGTCCTATCATGGCCAGAAGAGACCGCTTCTCTGCAGTCCTCCCTGGTGCCATCTCTAAAAACACATGTTTACACAGGGCAGTTGGTAGACTGTTTACCTAGTATGCATGAAGCCTTGGATTCAATCCAGCTTCTATAGTTTCAACTATAGAAACTAGGCATGACAGGGCACACCTGTAACCCCAACACGTGGGAGGTGGAGGCTTAAGTATCAGGAGTTCAAGGTCATCCTGGACTATTCATTGACTTTGAGGCCAGCCTGGGCTACCCAAGACTCTGTCACAAAACTAAACAATAGAAAAGCTCACCACCACCCTGAGTCTTTCAGCTTAGTGCTGGAGAATTTTAGATTAACCACTGTTTGCAGTTGATTGTCAGCATCCTGGACCAATGGAGAAACCCAAGCATTTAAGTTTTATGCATCCACAATGTGCTAAATTACCTGGAACCCTCTTGAAATAGATGGACATGGGGTACTTTTACAGAATGGTTAAAGAAACCAGCTTCAGAGGGCGGGATAGATGGCTGAGTGGTTAAGAGCACTTGCTGCTCTTCCAGAGGACCTGAGTTCAGTTCCTAGTACCGGCATAGAGAGGGAAGGGTCAGTCCCCTGTAACTCCAGGTCCAGGGGATCTGTTGCCATCTTCTGGCCTCTGAGGAAACACACACATGGCAGACACACAAACAAAAAATAAATACAAGATAGGGGATCAGGCTGAGTGTAGTTAATCTCAACCCCGCCATATCCTAGCTTAGCTTTTCAGCTTTAGACCTTGAGCATGGTGTTTAACCATGTGCGCCTCGATTTTCCATTTGCAATGTGAGGGTGAGAATAGAAACTTAAATGGAAAAAAAAAAGGTACGAGGGCAACAATATGACTTTATAATACTGCAGGGCAGAGTTAGAGTGCCAGGAACATACTACCTAAGATTCTGCAGACCCTGCCATGTTAGGGGCTGGGGTGCCATCCCCGGGGGCCATCGCTGCACCTTCCCACTTGGACCTCCACAGTTTTCAGCAACTGAACCAGCACTCAGAGTTTGGCCATTTATTTTTATTCCTCAGTGAATCACAGAAGCTTGTTTTACATCTCCTGCGCTGAAACGCAGTAAAGGCGCAGGGTTCGCTCTGCTGCGTGCAGCCAAGCGGCACTGTGCGGCTCAGAGATTAGACAGACTGTCAGTAAGCTTCACCGGCACTCGCCTGCCTGGAGGGCTAGGGCCCCGCTACTCAGTGCTCAGGCGTCTCTCTCGGAGAGCTTTAAAACTGGTCTCCTAACCAGAGGACATAGAAGTCAAAACCACAGATCCCTGTCCTCAACCCACAAACTCCACAAGGGCTATGTTACAGGCCTATCCTTCCATAGTTCCCTGGGTGACTCACATGGACAGTCAGTACAACATCAACAGCTGGAGCAGAGCAGTGAGGTTTCCTAACGGAGCTGCAGGGACACCACAAAGGACTACAGAGAGACGTTTTAGAGACCCCAACATGACTGATTCGGTGACAGGCACTGAGGTTTGAGAAAAATCCGTCCTCGCGTATGGTCACAGCTTGGGCCCATCGCTGTCTTTCCCCAGGTGGAGGATGGCCTTGTTTTCCAGAAGTTCCATTTGTCCACTGCTGGGACTCACCAGGTTGTTCAACATCGCTCTAACCACGGTCACAACAGGCACAGAGTGCCCACTGGCCCAGGACTCTGGCAGAGAGCCGAAGAATTTCCTAACCAGCCATTCGCCTGGACGAGACTCTTGCCTGTCACACAGCAGGACTCTAGGAGACAGAGAAAGGCAGGGGAAGAGATGGCACCTGCGCTCAGACTTTATGGATACTTCACATTGAGTTCTGTTTTCTCAAACCTGTCAGCAGAAGCCCTAACCCCAAAGGCAACTGTATGTGGAGATGGCCTTTATGGAGGCAATTAGAGCTCAGAGGTGTTGAGGGCAGGATAGGCCTGCCGTTCTGGCGAGAAGGACATGCATGAGAAAGGCTATGTGAAGCCACATTGAGAAGCTGGCACCGCCACGAGGAGGAGGGGCACCTCGGCAGACACCAGCCTCCAGGCCTCAAGAAAATCAGTTGGCTCACGTGGTGGCTGCAAAGTTTGATTTGTTAAATAAAGGGGGAGTGGGGTACAAAGACAAAAGGGCATGAAGTGAATAAAACTTAAAATGTTATGGAAAAAAAATGCAGGCAGCATCTTCTTCCAGAAAGTTCCCATGATTCTGAGGCAGCTCCAAGCTACTCTTCCCCCTTCCATCCCCCCACCCCCCCAGCTGAAAGTGGGTCCTTTGGAGAAGCAGCTCATGCCGAGCCAGCCTCGTTCACAGATGGCTTAGCTGTCAGCCTCTCTACTCACCCCGGCCGGAACACTGAGAAGCGATCAAACTTTAATTCTTCGACCTTGGCTTCCACTTCTCCCTGTTAACATTTAAAAACATAAAATAAAAATTAAAAAAAATCAGTGTTTGCCCAAGACCAAAGCACTCAGATAAAGCCTGAGAGGGGGTCACTCAGGCCTGAAGATAAACTGCTTCTGCAGCTCCCAAGACTCACGTTAATCCCAGCAGCCAGCCTGAGTCTAAAGTCTGGACAGAAGGAAGAGGCCATTTAACCCTGTCACACTGAGAGTCGTCCCCTAATGGTCAAAATGCAGCGTCACCCCCCAGACCCTGAGGCTCAGTGACCACTGCAGAGGAGGAGGAACTGAAAGATCATAAGAGCCAGAGGTTAGAGTGGACCTGAACAAAACTGTGTCTTCTGGACCCCACAGGCCTGCCATGCTCACGAACTCAGCAGCTGTGGCTGCCTGCACACTATCAAGCTAGCCAGCATTCTAGCATGGAGGTGGGTGGGGTTGACATACTTGCACCCCTAACTGAGGAGCAATGGACAGCTGATGGCTTCTAGGGCAGAGGAGGTGGGTTTTCATTAAGGGTGTAACCCCTGGTAGGTTGGCCATGCTCCGGGGGCACTCCCTTCATTAATGTCTAAACAGACCCGGAGAGGGTAAGTGAAACATCAGTCCAAACCCCTTCAGTCCCTCCTCACTGGCCCCACGGTCACCTTTTCAGTATACAAGCAGTTGTAATAGATGAGAAAAATACGGCGATCAGGAGGCGAGCCTCCACCCAGTGGATCCTAGATGACCCTCTGTGCCAATCACTTCTAAGCGTTAGCAACCCCCACCCAGATCTCAAGAAAACAATGAAATGACAAACAGAGATGCTTTAAATTATGAAGTCATGAATTTTCGCACCAGGTGAGTAATCAGAGGCCAGGGAAGCTATCATGTGACATGTTTTTCAAGGTCCACTCAGGTAAGAGACCCAGGTGATGAAGGGGGTAGGCCTAGGAACCAATTAAAAAAAGATGGAGCCAAGACTTCAGGGCATTGTGCTTGACAAAAGGAGTTAAGGCAACGGGGATCCCCTGGTGATGTCTAAGACTCCAGTGAGGAACTGACTCTATAAACGACAGGCGTTTCTCCAAGTCCAGGTGACGACTACAGACATGTGGGGCCTAGCCAGACGAAAGCCCTTTCTCCTGGCATATTAGGCAAAAGGCAAGTGTGTGTCTGAAAAAGGATTTCATGCCAAGGAGAACCCGTGTCCAGAGACACACGGCACAGAAACAGGTCCATCCTCCTGCGGCAGCGCCTCTACTTCACTGTGAGGAAATGGAAACTTCTGGTTAAAACCAGCGGCAACCACGTATTGTACTGGCAAGAGGCATAAAATTCTGGCATCT